CCGACAAGGATTACTTCTACACCCACACGGCCTGCGACGCCCACGGGAAGGTACAAGGGGGGACACACCGGGGGGGTGACACCGTCCCCGTGTCCTCCCCTGCTCACCCTTTGTCCCACTTGCGCAGACGCAGCTGATGTTCAAGTGGGCAGAGCCCAAAATCTGCAGCGAGGACCTGCCCCAGGCGGCCCAGCTGCCCCCCTCGGGGATGAAAACCCAGTGTCCTCCCTGCAACCCCGGCTTCGCCAAGGGCAACGGCAGCGCCTGCCAGCCCTGCCCCTACGGCTCCTACCCCAACGGCTCTGGTAAGGGCGGCCCCCTCATTGTCGCCATCATGGTCCCCAGGGGGTGACGGGGCACCCGGAGCTGCGACAGGGGGGATCAATGTAGGGTTGTCCCTCCCTGTTCCTATGGCTCTGGTAAGGATGGCATTGACACTGGCATTGTCCCTAAGGGGTGACAAAGACACCCAGAACTGCGAGGGTTAAGTGCAGGGTTGTCCCCTCCTCTCCCTATGGCTCTGGTAAGGATGTCATCAGCATCGTCCCCAGGGGGTGACAGGACACCCAAAACTGCTGGGGGGGTGGGTGACACCGCGATGCAGGGTTGTCCCCTCCTGTTCCTGCGGCTCTGGTAAGGATGTCCCCATCATTGTCCCCATGGAGTGATCAGGGCACTCAAAACTGCCAGAGTTAAGTGGGTGCCACCCCAGTGCAAGGCTGTCCCCTCCTGTCACTATAGCTTTGGTAAAGGCATCCAGATCATTGTCCCCAAGGGGTGACCGGTCACCCGGTGCTGCCCTGGGGACGTGAGTGTCCCCATGGTGCAGGGTTGTCCCCTCCTGTCCCCAGGCTGCCTCAGTTGTCCTGCGGGGACAGAGCCGGTGCTGGGGCTGGAGTACAAGTGGTGGAACGTGCTGCCCCCCAACATGGAGACCACCGTCCTCAGCGGCATCAACTTCGAGTACAAGGGCATGGCAGGTACCACCTGTGCCCTCGCTGTCCCCTCCCGTGGGGGTGGCCAGGGACCCCCCTGAGCCGTCACCGTGTCCCCACAGGCTGGGAGGTGGCCGGGGACTACATCTACACAGCGGCGGGAGCCTCCGATAGCGACTTCATGATCCTGACACTGGTGGTCCCCGGCTTCAGGTGGGTGTCCCCAGGGGTGGGGAGGGGACATTGCCATGGGGCAGAGGCTGGCAGTGTCCCCACGCTGTCCCCAGCCCCCCGAGCCCGGTGCTGGAGGACGCAGAGAGCAAGGAGGTGGCCAGGATCACCTTCGTCTTCGAGACCATCTGCAGCGTCGGCTGCGAGCTCTAC